CCGGCCCCTGCGCCCTTCGCCTTCCCCGCTCAGGACCTCACCTGTCACCAGCAGCTCCAGGACGTCGCTGGGTTGGGACCAGATGCCCGGTCCCCAGTCCAGCCGGCGGTAGCAGCAGTGGTAACTGCCCCCCTGGGCGGGAGCCACCGCCTCCAGAAAGAACTCGGCCAGCTCCAAGGACACGTCCCGGAGCAGCAGGGGCTCGCTCTCGCCCGCCCTGAAGAGCGCAAACCTCCAGGCGGGCTGGGGTGCGCGGCACCTCAAGGTCACGTTGACCCCCGGGGTCACGACTGCCGCTGGCTGAGCCCCCAGCCATGGCTTGGGGTAGGAGGCTGGGGGAACTTAATAAGGGAGTCTGCGTGAGCCCGGGACCTCCCAGGAACCGCAGGGGGGTCCGGGGAGGTTGGGGAGGAAGAAAGCAGCCGGGACCAGGCGCCTTTGCCCTGTGTGTGCCTCAGCTGTGTAAAATAGAGGAAGGCCTGGACCACACTCGGGCTGGTCAGAGAAAGTGGCAAGCCGTGGCGGAGCCGCTGTGGTCCCGGGAGGCTGAGGCTGGAGGAGGGCAGGTTCAAAGCCAGCCTCAGCATCAGAGTGATACCTGGTCTCTCTCTCTCACACACACACACACACAAACACACACACTTCCAGTTTTGTTGTTTGTGTAGTTTGTTTGTTTTTGGTACTGGAATTAAACTCAAGGGTGCTTTACCACTGAGCCACATCCCTAGCCCTTTTTATTTTATTTTAATTTTGAGACAGGATCTCACTAAATTACCCAGGCTGGTCTTGAACTTGCAATGCTTGCCTCAGCCTTCCAAGTGGCTGGGATTATAGGCATTTGCCAATGCCACTGCACTGGGCTATGGCTTTTAAACAATTTCAGAGGGCCATGTCCGAGACATTTGCGTTTTTAGTCCCTAGAATGTTGGTACCAGATTTCAGTCGTTGCTGCTCTGATTTGAATTTGTCCCCCGGAGATAATGTGTTGRAAACCTAATCCCTAACACAATAGGGTTGAGAGGTGGGAACTTAAGAGGTGATGGGTTGTGGCTCAGTGGTACAGCACTGGCMTAGCAAGTATGAGGCCCTGGACATGTCGATCCTCAGCACCACACAAAGATAAATAAAAAAACATATTGTGTCCATCTACAACTAAAAAGCATTTTTTTTTTTTTAAAAAGGAGGTGATTGGTTGGATCAGTGCCATTATTGCCAGAGTGGGTGTTTGATGTAAGGGTAAGTTACACACACAAACACACACACACACACACACATGCACACGCACGCACATGCACACGCACAATACCCTTCTTGACTAGGTGATGCCTTTGGCCACAGCATGATGCAGATAAATGGTCCTTACCAGGCCCTTTGATGTTGGACTTTGCAGCCAGACTAAGAACTAAATAAACTTCTGTTGTGTATAAATTGCCCACCCTGTGGYGCTCAGTTATAGTAGCACAAAACAGACTAACAGTTGCCAAAACTTGCTATTTGGAAAAAAGTAACATGGGATCCTACCTGGCACCATTCCCCCAATCAAACTCCAGCTTGATTAAGAACCTACATGTGTTTCTTAAAATGTATTCTTAGAATATGTAGAAAAACACAAATATCTTGAAGTAGGAAAGGTTTCTTAAGCTGTACAATGAAAAATTCATGAGATAAAATTAATAAATTTGACCTCTTGGGTTATATTTGCCAAAAGACAAATGAAGCTAGAAGTCATGTGACAGTATTGGCAAAAATCACTTGATTCATGAATCATTTGGATTAAGAATATAGAAAGAAACCCGAGAATCATTCAAATAAAATCTATACAAGACATGAATAGGCAATTCACAAAGGAGGAAGTCAGTCGGCTACAACACAACTAAAGGAAAAAGGTTGCTTAAAATTAAAGCAATTATTAAAAAAAATCACCAAGATTGTTTTGCCAATCAGGTTATCAAAAACTGTGGTTAACATTGAGTTTGGGTGAATATGTTGAAACCGGCCCCTGGGCACTTGAATGTACCCTCTCTGAAGGAAATGTGTCAGTTTCTATCAAGATACAGGACATGAGTAATGACCCAATAATTCCACTGCTTCTCCAGGCACAAAGGTGCACATGTGTGCACCAGAAAGTCATGCAGGAGTGCTTGTTGCAGCATTGATTGTATATCCAGGAAAACTGGATATACCTAAATGTATATCAAAAGGGAATGACCCCTCACCCCAGAATCCAGCCATCCTGCAATAGCCAATTCTGGTCAACAGTTGGAATAACATTAAAAAGTAGAAAGAGTGGCATGGAGATAGCTCCAAGACAGATTGTAAAGTAAAAAGCATGAGATACAGAACAGGGTGAGTCATCCATTATCAATATTGCTTTGGCAAAACCAAAACCAAAAAAAACCAAATCTATAAATACATGCATGTGTGTGAATATAAGGAAATTCAGATCATTTAAGGAAGATGGAGAAGAAAGAAGGAGACTGTTATACGTTTTTTGCTAATGACTGAATGAATAGATATTAGCTTTATCATAAAAAAAAACTTAACTTGAGCTGAGTGTGGTGGTGCACACTAGGAATCTTAGCAACTAAAGAGGCTGAGGCAGCAGGATGCAAATTTAAGACCAGCATCTGCAACTTAGTGARTCTCTGCCTCAAAATAAAAATAAAAGGGCTGGGGATGTGGCTCAGTGGTAGAAAAACAATTTGAAAGAAGCTGGTAGCTCAGACATCGATGGTTTCTCAGATAATTCTTTTTTAAAAAAAATTTTAATATTTATTTATTTATTTTTTAGTTTTCGGCAGACACAACATCTTTGCTGAGGATCAAACCCTGGCGGCTGGCATGCCAGGCAAGTGCGCTATTGCTTGAGCCACATCCCCAGCCCTTTCTCAGATAATTCTTATTTGAAGTTGTAGTGTTGTGTAGTGGGAGAAAGGAAAGGTCAGTCTCACTTCTCAGGAAACAGGAAGAAACCCCTCTCAGGATGGGTGGGAGACCCTCCTTTTTGTAAGGGTGGAAAACTGGATATACCTAAATGTATATCAAAAGGGAATGACCCCTCACCCCAGAATCCAGTTGAAGGGATAATTGGTATGGCAGGAGACGGTACTTCTCCAAGCCAGGGGATTTACCCATGTGGTTAGACTAAGTCCTACAACAGCCCATTTTATAGAGAAGGAAATGTCTTCGAAGCCGTGGTTTGTTCAAGGTCATCTAGTAATAAGGTGGTGAAGCTGGAGTTCTAGGTTATGWCTCTTCACTATCCACCTATCGTGGCCACTAAAAGGAGTGAGGAAGGAAGGACGGAAAAGAAAGGGAGGGAGGTAGGGAGCAGAAAGGGGCGGGAGAAAGGAAGGGAGGGAAGGAAACCTGGGGTGAGCTTGAGCACCAGAATAGAATCTGAGTAGTTGGAAAAGAGGTGTCAGCAAAGCAGAGGATGAAGAGGAGTGTTACTCACCGGACGGAGTGAGGTCTGCGTGACCCAGAGCCCCTGCACAGGGTTGAGGAGAAATTTTTTGTAAAGTCCTTTGAGGGTGCCAGTCCCACCTCACCAGGAGCCCAGGAATGGGATTCCTCAGCCTCTCCTKAGTCKGAAGAACAGGAACTTCTTCCCTACTYACTCCTCTCTAAGCTGTCAGGAATTCAGGCTTCCTTCCACACCTGCTTATGAAGCCAGATGTTTGCCCCTAGCCCCCTCCTCCCTCCAGCCAGGAGTCCTACCCGCCACCCCTCCTTTCCCAGGGGTTCAGAGGTCCTGGCTTCCACCTCCTCCCCTATCAGAATCAGGAGTCCTCAGCCAGGTGCGGGGTGGCACAGCCTGTCATCCCAGCAGCTCTGAAGGCTGAGGCAGGAGGATCTCAAGTTCAAAGCCAGCCTTAGAAATTTAGAAAGGCCCTTAAGCAACTCAGTGAGAGACTCTGCCTCTAAGGAAAAAAAAAAAAAATGGTGGTGGGGGGGATGTGGTTCAGCAGTTAACTGCCCTTGAGTTCAATCCCTGGTACCAAAAAATAAAAATAAATAATTAAATCAAGACTCCACACTCCCTAGTCTCTGATCCCCTCCTGTCTCAAGATCTAAGAAGCCTGTTCCCACTTCCCTCCTCTTCTAGGACTCSGTCTTTTCTAGTTGAATGCCCAGCAGTCTTGGCCCCAGTCCTGTCCCTTGATTCTCAACTAGACTAATTGAGTTGAATGCTAAACGCCCAGCTAGTGCTGCAGGGTGGCTGGGTCCCCAACCCTTTTCTCTCTCTGCTCCCAGCCCAGCCAAGGACCCAGGCAGAAGGGAGGGGGCAGCTCACAGAGGGTCAGCAGCTGGAGGACCACCGCCAGGGCCATAGTGGGCTCTCTCTAAAGCTGAAGCCAGGAATGGAGATGCCCTCCTCCCTCCCAGGAAATGAGGCAACGTCCGAAAGCCAGACGTCAGACAGCCCTGTATAGGGAAGGAGAAGGGCTGCGGGGAGGAAGGGCGCCTGGGTGGCTGTGTCACAGCCCAGTGGTCTGTGGGAAAAGTTGGAAGGAGGAATCATAACCTGTTGGGTTCATTAAACTTCAAAAAAAAAAAAAAAAGCACCCATTAAGCGCCAGGCCCTTGCTGCGTGAAGCCGGGAGCACAGAGGGCTCAGACCTCGTTACTGCTCTCAAGCAACTCCCACTTTCACTGAGAGACAAACCTGGACCATTCCACTTAAGGAAAAAATGGGGAGGGGAGTGATCCCAGCTATAGGGCAGTAACAACGGGAACTGTGAGTCCACAGAAGGTCCCTAAACCATCTGACCCGAAAACTAGTGCTTCCAGCACCAGCTGATGCCGAGCTGAAAATCCGTAGGGCAGCTGTTCGCCTTCTCCAGCCTCCGCTTCTCCTTCTGTAAATGGGTTTTCAAAAATTCCGCCTTATGTGAGTTGCTGCAGGAAGACTAGAAGTCAGTCCTTGGGAGCGACCCCTAGACTGAGAAAAGTGAACCCAGCTGGCGCTCAAGGCATTTAAATCTTCCCCGCCACAGCCTCCAACTTCAGTGCGCACGCGCGGACTGAGAGCGCAGGGACCACAACTCCCAGGGTGCTGCGCGCCTCCGCTTCCGCCAGGACACGTCTCCAGGGCGCACGCGCAGCCCAGGTTGCGGAGGCTGGCTCAAGGACCACAACTCCCAGGGTGCTGAGCGCCCTCGCCGCCGCCGGGAACAAGATGGCTCAGAGTAAGTGTGAACACTGCGGTTGTGCAGGGCACGGGTCTTCCTGGTAGCCCGCGGGCGGTGGTAGGGCTGAGGTGCGGCGGAATACACGTGGAGGCGGTGGGGTCCGTCCTGGACAGGGCGCGGCAGGCAGATGGGGGCTCTTCCCGGGCGGGGTGGCGCGAGCGGGCTAGAGGTCACCCGGCAGCCCCTGCAGGTGACTCTCTACCCGACCCTCCAGAACTCGCCGCCTTTCTGAAGAATGCCTGGGCCAAGGAGCCGGTGCTGGTCGTGTCCTTCGCCATTGGAAGTCTCGGTGCGTGAGTGTCCCGGGCGCTAACGTGCGTCACCCGCCCCGTTCCATCTCGCGCCCCACGGCCCCCCTCGCCCGTCCGAGCTCACGCCTGAACCGCTCCACGCCTCCCAGTACACCGCCACACTAGAGGTGCAGAGCCTCTGCAGGGCTGTCCACCCYGGTTGTGCCTTGGGACTCACCCAGTAGTGAAATAACGAGCCCTTCCCCGTCCCCGCATCTGCATTGGGTTGGCTGCGCTGGGAGTGAGCTGGAGAGTCTGTGCCACTCACCCTGAGGAAGGAGCTGTGCCGCGCACCTGCGCTGCTCACCCAGGGCTCACCCTGGGCAGGGTGAGCGGTCCCGTTAAAAGCATTTATGATTCTGTAAGCTTGGGGCAAGGCCTGGGATTCTTCATTTCTAACAAGTTCCCAGGTCTTGTCAGTACTGCTGGTCTGCAGATCACACCGGATGAAATTCTAGACCGCCACGGGGCCCCTGAGCTTTTGAGGGGGGCCAGTACTTTGAGATGGTAGGAGACACACTGGATTTAAAAGCTTAGCATGTTCAAAAATATGTACACTTATCAACATTTTAATGTTGATTTTTTATGTAAAAATGTTTGGGTGTACCAGATTAACATATTATAAGATTAATATGAAACATTTAACGCCACCATGTAAAATTACAATGTAAAGTTATCTTTATGTCAGACAGCCCTGGCCTAGATCCTTTTGCACACCTTGCACACCCTTTCACCTCTAGTATGCCTCACTACCCTCTGCCCTCCAGGCCTGACTTGTCCCTGACTGATGGGCTCCCATCCCTGGACCATCAACTCCCTTGAAGTATTCTGCCTGTAAATGGGGATCCTAGAATACTGAAGGGCCCACAGAATGAAGTGTCCTCCTGGAACTTCTAGCCCTTCCTGCTCCCCTTGATACCCCCTTCTTTGCCAAGACTCAGCTTTTGCCCTTTTCCCCACCTCAGAAAATCACTTTAAGCTGGGCCTTACTCTTCTCTCCACAGCTGTGATTCTGCCCCCAATCAGCCCCTACACCAAGTATGCCATCATGATCAACAAAGCCACACCCTACAACTACCCAGGTGAGCAGGGACCTGTGCTGTAGGGAGGGGTGGAAGTGGGCAGTCCATTCCTGAGCAGGGTCAGATATTGCAGTTTGTCTGCACTCTCCCTGTCCAAATCCTTAATCCACATACTTTGCATCCCATTGTTTTTATACTTTTGAGTTTCTATTATCTTTCCAGATTTCTGTTCCTCTTTGGGTTCCTGCATCTGTTGGTTTCCAGGTGTCTGGTTCCCCATCAYTGGGGATAACCGTCATTCCCACCATTTCCTGTTTCTCTACCTCTCTGAGTCACCGATTCTCTGATCCTGGCTCTCCTTTCTCTCCCCTGGAAACCTGTTTCCCTTTGAACTTGCACCAACATTCCTGCTGTTCTCTGCAGGGCCGTAAAGATCTGCTGATCTCAGTGGCCCACCCTTCTGTCTCACAGTGCCCGTCCGAGATGATGGGAACATGCCTGACGTGCCCAGTCACCCCCAGGACCCCCAGGGCCCCAGCTTGGAGTGGCTGAAGAAACTGTGAGCACTTCCATTGACAGGGAGGAGGCACCTTCGCCCAATAAAATGTGAAACCAACCCACGTGTGATGAGAAATAGGAGCAGTTGACAGGGACTAGGTTGAATGGGGGGGRCAGTTTATTGGGTTGGGGTCAGTCAAAGGGTGGGCTGGCAAGAGTTGGGTAGGGCAGCAGTTTGTCTGGTCCCCGAGAAACCCAACTTGAATCCAGAGTCTCATCTGTTTCAAAGCCAAAATCTTCCTCAGCCTTAATCTGAAGAAGGAAGGAAAGCACAAGTGAGCCTGGGAACGCGGGAGACCTGGGGTCTCCCAGCACTGTTTTCACAGGCCAGCTTCCTGTGCTCAGAGGCAGCCCCAGCTCTGCACCCAGACGTGCCACATTCTCCACCCTCACCCGCCTGCCCTCCTTCTCTCCTCCTATCTTGCTACCTCTCCAGCCACTTCCTTCTGCAGGTCTTCCCCTTGGAGTCTTGTCCAGCCCCAGGCCTCCTCAGCCCTTCCTGCTTCACCTTTCTCCAGCTCTGCCTAGCTCTGGGCCCCACAGCACAGCAGCCAAGCCCAGGAGCCAAGTGACACTTTGGCCACAGCACCTGGATTCCTTCCTACCTGTGCTGGGGCCAGTTCTGGAGTCAGCGTGGTTCCTGCCCGGCACCCATCCCTAGGTACCCGCCGCCTCTTCCGCCCACTGGGCCCCTCACCAGGGGCTGGGCTGCTGGGTTCTGGGGGTATAGGAGTCCTTCTAGGGGGGGACAGCCCCTCTTTCTCTGGAGGCTCGTTCTCAGCATTGCCTGGAGTGGGGGCATCTGTACCCTGGCTGCCCTCATCCTGGTAGGTAAAGGGGAGGAAGTCAAGACTGTGTCCTGGGCTTCAGTTTCCCAACCTGCCCGAAGGCCAGTGCTCACCTCCAACACAATGGTGAACTGGCTGGCCCGATAGTCATCCCCGTAGGAGTCCAACACTCTCATGAGGAATCTGTGTGAACAGAGAGGCCACCAGTGGGACAGCTTATTTATTAGTGGGGTTGGGGGCAAACAGTAGAGCCCAGCTCTTATTCTACTTGAAGCCAGATTGTCCTTGACCCAGATTTATAGTTCTGCAGCCTGAGAGGCCTGGAAACTGGGCACTAGCCAGGCAGTGGGGCCTTGGGCAAGATGGCTTGTCTGACCTTTCGTTTCCTCTGTAAGTGGGAGATACTGATCTGTCTGGGCTGGATGCAGACACAGCGATACTCTAAGGGCTCTMTGAGGCTGGCATTTTGCAAACATTCACTTAGGAGCTGATTCCTATTAATGACTGAGGTGAGCATGACACTCCTACTGGGAACCTCACCTCCGACCAAGGCTGCTTTCTCTTCCTCCCCTCTGCTTCCACAAGTTTTCTGCACACTTCCCATATCAGGATCCTGGCGRTGTTTTACACAGGTGATCTTTCATTTCACAAATACCTCTTCAGGGAAGTTCCAAGCTGAGCATATCCCCAAGAGCCCAGCCTAACCCTCAGAGCAGCTTTGACATTGGTGTTGCCCTCAGTTGATTGGAAGATGCAGCTCAGACGGGCTATTGCTTGCTCAGAGCCAAACATCCTGCTGTCCTGTCCACTCAGTCTGCTCTCCCAGCCCTTCCCTGGGTCCTGGAGCCAGCTTTTCCCTCTAAAACCCAGCTCCACTCTTTCTTGTCTGCCTCTAACCCTAGCCTTCATCTTCAACCTCTTGTCCTTGAGGCCTGTGAGGGCCAGGTGGGTGAAGATGGCAGAGATGGTGAGGGGTGGTGAGGTAGAAAGGGTTACCTGCGTTCCTGCTGGAGTCTTCGAGTTATCCTCTGCACCTGGTGGAGCCTKTTCAAGACCCGCTCATTGACCTGCGGGGAGATGGTGAGCAGGTACACTGGATTCCACTAGTCTCCCACTCACTGGACAGGTCTGATGGAGCGCCATCTATGGAGGGCCTAGTGCCTGCACACAGCAGCCCCCGTCGGCTGAATGAGCAACTGTAGGGCTAAGTGCGTGATGCACACCAGCCAGGCTGACATGCCAAAGGCAAGGCGGGGCCACTTTAGTGAGTGCTATCAGAGGACTGGTGGGCTGAGTGATGGGAAGGAGACAAAGGAGTGACTACCAGGAGCAAAGCCTTCCAGGCTGAGGGGACAGCCCCTGCAGTTTCTGAGGACCTCAGCCTGGGTGTGGAGGGCAGAAACATGGCTCAGGCAACAGCCTAGTATTGGCTGAAGCATGTGCTCCTCCTGCTCGGAAAAACCTAGGTTCAAATCCTGACC